AAAAAAAAAAAAAAAAAAAAAAAAAAAAAAAAAAAAAAAAAAAACAATGTAATGTCAATTTCTTTCTTTCTTTTATTTTTTTTTAAGATTTACTTATTATGTATACAGTGTTCTGTCTGCATGCCAGAGGAAGGCACCAGATCTCATTACAGATGATTGTGGACCACCATGTGGTTGCTGGGAATTGAACTCAAGACCTCTGGAAGAACAGCCAGTGCTCTTAACTGCTGAGCCATCTCTCCAGCCCATAATGTCAATTTCTAGTCCGTGAAAGTTATTATTACAAACTATTTAAGATAATAAAGAAATGCAGGTTAGTAGTTAGTCATTACAATCAAACTTGTAGTCATATTAGGTATGTTTTCAAGGTCAAACATGTTTTAGATAGACAACTAATTTTCAAACACTTCAGAGATCTACAGAATATGGCATTTAAGATGTTTTAATAACATAATGTTCTTTTTTTTTTTTTTTTTTTTTGAGACAGGGTTTCTCTGTGTAGTTTTTGGTGCCTGTCCTGTATCTTGCTCTGTAGACCAGGTTGGCCTCAAACTCATAGACATCCACCTGGTTCTGCCTCCCAAGTGCTAGGATTAAAGGCATGTGCGACCACCACCTGGGCATTTTTTTTTTTTTTTAATGACAATGAGTCATGTCTGCTCTTGGCAGTACCAATCTACTTCAGAGAAGATGATGGACATTGAAGAAACTCATATGGAGTTTGCTTTCTTTGTGGCAAATGTAAGCCACTGGGCAAGAAACTGCCCTTGCCTCAACTGCTGACAGTTGCTGTCCAAATTGGACAAGCAGGACACGAAAGAAAGTGACTGCCGAACTTTGCCAAGACAAGATGGGACAGTCCTTCAAAAATCTTGCTTCACAGAAAAGTCTGTCAGATATTCTAGGACTGTAGGCTGAAGATGGATGCCCCAACATTGCAGAGGAACCTTGGATAACTGTCCAGGCAGCCGGCTGTTTCTGTCATTTCTTAGTTTTCCTTTTTAACAAATTCAGAAAAGACACTCATAAGAGAGGTGTAAAGTGTATAAGGTTAAGAAACATAAAAAGATAGTTTTGGGTTAGTAATGCAAGTTAGGATAGAAAGTGAAATAGGCACAATGCTTTGGATTCACCAAGATAGGATAGCTAATGGAGTATTTTCTCTGAATTAGTTAAATGCAAATAAATTAACATTGTTAATATAATTCTTGCCTGTAATATTTGTATATAGTTATTGTACTTACTGTATATAGTTTTTCTATGTTAATTAAAATCTTTGCTTTTTATTTAGACCAAAAGGGGGGAAATGTATGATATTTTGCTTGTGTTCTGACAAAGTTTGCTTGGAGTCAGAGGGCAGAGCTAGCCACTAGCTGACCATAGAGGTTTGGAGGACTGTAGACAGAGAGGAGACAGGAAGTGGTAAGGTGGGACTGAGAGAGGATCTCGGCCCTTTGGGTGGAGGAACGGAAGAGGTCTGAAGGACTGGCAGCTGCTTCCTGCTTCTCTGATCTTTCAGGTTCTTACCCCGATATTTGACTCCTGGTTTTTTATTGATAAAGATTAACTAGATCAACACTTCACACCACAGGCACAGAAGAGTCTGTGCACAATGACTGGATCCAGGAGGTGGGTGCTGGAGGTCTGGATGGGGACACTCTGGAGTACAAAGGGAGCTCATTTGTTCTTATCTGTTCTTTTGTGCCGATTAAAATGTTTACTATAGATGAGATTCCTTAGTTCTTTTCTGAAGTAACCTGATTTATCAACTTATCTTGTGCTTCGTAACACTTCACTGACAGTCAAGGCACCCGCTGTCCTTTGTGTAAGCCTGTGGCTGTTGCGCCGCCATGGTCAGGCAGATGCCTAAAGCAGAAAACCCTCCAACTCTTCCACATACTCAGATGTGTAAGACTGGAACCCCAAGTCACCAGCAGACACCCCTCTTCCCTCTGCCAGCTCACTGACACTCAGGAACAATTCTGAAAACAATTTCAGAAAACTACAATGTCACAACTTTTTTTTTTTTTAAAGAATATTGGCTGGGCAGTGGTGGTGTACACCTTTAATCCCAGCACTCGGGAAGCAGAGCCAGGAGGATCTCTGTGAGTTCAAGGCCAGCCTGGTCTACAGAGTGAAATCCAGGACAGGCTCCAAAACTACACAGAGAAACTCTGTTTCGAAAGAATATTTTCTATGTGTAGGAGTGTTTTGCCTACACATAGGTATGTGTACCACTTGTATGCAGTACCCATGGAAGTCAGAAGAGGGCATCAGATCCCCTGGAAGTGGGGATTATAACAGTTATAAGCCACCATGTAGGTGCTGGAAGCCAAGCCTGGGGCCTCTGGAAGAGCAAAAGGTACTTTTAACCCCTGAGGTGTCTCTCCAGGCTCACGTCACAACTTCTTGGACCACTTTTTCCAAAGTGGAAGAAGGAGAAGGGAAAATAGGTTGGATGTTCAGGCCTGTCCTTTCCCAAAGACATGGAGCAACATGATATATAAGGGAACATTGAATTTTTTAAATATTTTTAGACAAGGTCTCATGTATCCCAGGCTGACATAGGATGACCTTGAACTCCTGATTCTCTTGTTTCCATGCCCTGAGTGATGAAATTACAGGCATACAATACCAGAACTGGCTAAAAGTTTTCTAGGAACCGTAAAACCCACTCATCTGAAATACATAATTGTGCAGTTTTTGGAATGACCTCATAGCTGTGCAACATCACCACAACCTACAGAAGAGCCTTGTTACCACTCACGCCCTTCCAAACCCTACAGCCTTAAGAACATCCATTAATCTATGCCCTTTCTCTGGATTGCCCGTTCTGGACTTCACATATAAATAGACTGTTTATTCCTTTCTCTCTTCCTTCCTTTCTCACTCTCTCCCTTCCTTCCTTCCTTCCTAACCTGAAATGAAGAATTTCAGGTTAGGAAGAATTAAGCAGAATTCTCCTGAGGTCTCTGCTTGAGTTCCTGCCCTGACTGCCCTATAACTGTGAGCTGAAATAAACTCTCCCCGTCCCAAGGTGCTTTTCGTCATGGTGTCTATCACAGATGAGGAACAGAACTGAGACCAGACCATGATTTGCCCTGAGAGTCTCAGAGAGCTTTGCCTAAGGAAAGAGTGGACAGCTGCAGTGTTTTTGGCTGTGAGTCTTTTGCTGTGTAGTCCAGCAGGCCTTGACCTTGTGATCGATCCTCTGACCCCAGTCTCCCAAGTGACTACAGGCGTGCGCCGCCACTCCCAACTCTGTCTTCTTCAGATGGCCCACACTGATGGTGGCCCGCGTCACTGATCCGGGGAAAATGGGACTCTTCCAACAGAAAGCCAGACAGAGGCAGGCAGATCTCTGAGTTCCAGGACAGCCAGAGCTGTTACACAGAGAAACCCTGTCTTGAAAAAACAAAACAAGCCAGCCAGTGGTGGCGCACGCCTTTAATCCCAGCACTCGGGAGGCAGAACTCTGTGAGTTCGAAGCCATCCTGGGGTACAGAGTGAGAGCTAGGACAGGCTCCAAAGCTGCACAGAGAAACCCTGTCTCGAAAAACAAAAAACAACAACAACAAAAAAAAACAAAAAACAAGAAAGAAAATAGAAAAAAGAAGAAACAAAACAAACAAACAAACAAACAAATCCAAGTTTGAAGTCAGCAAGTTGGTTCAACCAGTGAGGGCTGCTGCTGCTAAGCCTGGTGACCAGAGTTTACTTTCTGGGCTCCACACTGTGGAAGGAGAGAACTGACTCCTACAGGCTGTCCTGTGACCTCCAGATACATGCCAAGACATGTCTCCCCAGCCTGCTCTACCCCGATACATTTTCAGATTTCCATTTTTAAATATACTGAGAAAATGAGAGCACGACCTAGGTTCTGTTGATGGATGGCGTCTTCAGGAAACACAAGTTCAGAATAAGACGTGGCAGGCAATATGCTGGCTGGCTGTGGGGCCACTTGGCTGGTGCAGGGACTGGGGCCTGCCAGGTAGAGTTGCTGGCACAGAAAATAAATGTGCAGGCAGCAGTGGCCGTCAGGTTCGTGGCATCAGGAGTGGATGCTCACATGAGGCCTTTCGCTGAACCTGTTCTTCCGGGTCCCGGAAGCAACAGGGACTGCCTTCCTTTCACAACTAAGAACTGTGACAGAAAGAGATGATGTCATGAGGATATCACAGTGTCAGGGTAACAGGAGTCATATACTACATCATAGTAGGTGAGGCACATGAGCTCTGACTGGAATCTCTCCGCGTGTCTCTGTGGTTCTATGTCTCTGTCCCGTGTGTGTGTGTGTGTGTGTGTGTGTGTGTGTGTGTGTGTGTGTGTGTAACAGAAGTCCACATGAGTGTTGTTCCTCAGGCATTATCCACCTTGTTCTTTGAGGCAGAGTCTCTCCTTGGCCTGAGACTCATTAACAGTAAGCTAGACTGGCTGGCCAGCAAACCTCTGGGTATCCTCCTGTCTCTGGCTTCCCACTGGTGGGATTATAAGTGGGAACTACCACACCTGACTTTTCATGTTCATTTCCAGGGCTCAGACTCAGGTCCTCATGCTTGTCTGGCAAGCACTTAGCCAGCTGAGCTGAGCCCCTCTGGCTAGAATCCTAGCTCTGGCATTCTGTAGGCATGTGCTTTGGGGGAAATGATTGGACTTCAATGTCCCAGAGATTCATACAGAGGAGTAATGAAGTGTGTCGTGGGAGATGAAGAGCTGAGTCTTGTAAATAATCCAATACAAAGGCCAGACATGGTGGCACACGCCTTTGATCCAGTCGCTCACCAGGCAGAGGCAGGTGGATGTCTGTGAGGTCCTGGGCCATCCTGGTCTACATAGCAAGTTCCAGGACAGCCAGGGCTACATAGGAAGACCCTGTCTCAAAACAAACAAAGATGAGGTTTAATTTGTATTCACTTACTCTTCTAAGTTTATGGAAATTGCTGTCATGATTTCGGCTTAAAAGAAGCTGTTAAAGCTGAAAAGAAAATGTTACATAATTGTCACATGCAACTGTCAACTCAGAACTTGGGAAGCTCTCTCACACACACACACACACACACACACACACACACACACACACACACACAAATACAGGAAAAAGGGCCAGGATGTAGCTTTGTTGGTAGAGTGCTTGCCAAGCACCCATGGGACCCTGGGTTTGAACTTCAGCATAAACAGAGCATGATACTGCCTACCTGTAATCTCAACACTCTGGAGGCAGAGGCAGGCATGTCAGGAGTTCAAGGTCTTCCAGAGAAAATAGCAAATGTCAGGACTACATGAGACCCTAACTACATGAGACTCTAGGGCTGGGGATGTAGCTTACTTGGTAGACTGCTTGCCTGGTGTGCTTGAAGCCCTGGGTTCAATGCCCAGCACTACATAAACTCGGCATGGTGGCACATGGCTGTCATCCCAGCGCGTTGAACAGAAAGATACATAGAAAATTTAAGGCCAGTCTTGGGATACATGAGACCGGTTCAAAAATAAATAACTGCATACATATATACATAAATACATTAATAAATAAGTGGGCCTGGTGCTGTGGCACATGCCTGTGCACCAGGGAGGCAGAGGCAGGAAGATCTCTATAATTTCCAGGCCAGCCTGGTCAACAGGGTGAGATCCTGTCTCAAAATAAATAAATAAAAAGATAATCAACAGAATAATCAGCAGGAGTTGGTGGTGGGCAAGAAAGGGCAGTGGGGTGAATGTGATAAGAAAATATACATGTATGAAAATGTCCTAATGGAGCCCATAATATGAATTACTAAGTGTTAATAAAAAACACATCAAGTGGGATCTGGAGCCTGTAACCCCAGCACATGATGCAGGAACTGAGGCAGGAGGACAGCTGTGAGTGTAGGTCAACCTGGGCTATGGAGACTCTGTTTTAAGAAATAATCCCACCAATGTTAGGGGTGGGGCCCAGTGGGAGACCCCTAGTTTAATGGGGCACACGTTCCAGGAAGGGGTTAGGGTATATCACACAGGACTCTAGTTAGTAACTCCCAAAAGGTTATTGCAAAAGCGTGAGCCTGGCCCCACCCGGTTTCTCTCTGGCTTCCGGTTTCCAGATGCAATCTCTCAGGCTCCAGCCATGAGATGATGCAATCGAGAGAACCCATCCATGCCAGGGCTGGTGGCAGAGCTGTATCCTTGGCGCTCAATGCTGTGAGCTACATAACTCCCTCTTATTAATAAGGTTAGCCCTCCCCGGGCACTCCAGTGTAGTAACACCAGATGGATTAGTACCCTGTGGCTGGGTGAGACTATGGCAGAGCCAAGCTCACTTGCGGCAGGAGGTGGGAACCAGCAGTAAACACCAGTGCGCAAACTGCTTGCAGATCTTCCGCAGCACAGATGTCCTCTTTACCCGTGGACCCCAGGTAGGCACCCTCCCCACAGCGGTGGGTCTGAGAACGTCCACCAGCTCACTGAGGTGTGTTTGAATGCATCTGGCTTCTTGTCTCTTAAGAGTGGCTGGGGAATGCTTATGTTCATGTCAACCACCTGTGAAGACAGGGCCCTCCCACAGGAAGCCAGATCTTTGAAACTGTGATTGGTGGCAAAGAAAATCCCATTGTCCCTAGGCCCTACTCTAGATTTTGGGTGAGCAGAGGCATGGTTTGGGCCCCTAAGGGTGTTCCTATGAGGTGGGATGATAGTGGCCCTGTCACTCTCCAGCAGGCTGGGAAGCCAGCTTGATGGCACCCTGGAGTAAGTGACGGGTGAGGTCGTCCCATCCTCAGGACTGTTTTCCTCTCCTTATGTCTGAGTCTTAAGTAAAAAGATTGGACTGGATGTCCCAATCTAGTGTCAGCTGTTGGTGTCGGGGCTATTACGACATTTCTGTTTGTCTTTAAACACCGGTGTAGAGGGGTCCATTGTCCTCTGCCTAAAGCCAGGTGGCAGTGATGACAGACACACCAAGGAGTCTGTATCCCAGGGCTACATTTAAGGGTAAGGGGTCCATTTGGTCCCCTCAGTTATAGATTTCTGAGAATTCAGATAAGGGATGATAGATGTCGTGACCTCAAAAGACAGTGCATGACCAAAACACTGTCAAAAGGGAAAGGTGGTACTTCTTCTTTTTGTTTATTTGTTTTGTTTTTTTTTCGAGACAGGGTTTCTTTGTGTAGTTTTGGTGCCTGTCCTGGATCTCGCTCTGTAGACCAGGCTGGCCTTGAGCTCACTGCCGCCCAACTATGAAAGATGGTATTTCTAAGAACAGGTAAAGCATTAGTCAGCCAGTGGCGCTGGAACGCTCCTTCCTAGCATGGGCTCCTCTTAACCAAGCCTCTTAGCTTGAGCTTTGCTTTTCTTCCCCATCAATTTGAGACAGTGTCTCGCTATGTAGTCCTGGCTGGCCTGGAACTCGCCATCAGATTTGCCTCAAGATCACAGCGATCTCCCTGCCTTTGCCTCCCAAGTGCTGGGATTAAAGGCCTGGCCTAGCATATTATTTCCAGATGCACTTCCTGTTACCAGCTGCTGGGGTCCCCTCACTGGGTTTCTCCCACCTTTTGGGACTTTTCTGAACCCTTCATGACTTAATGACATGAATTTCCTTGTCCCTGGAAGTATTCTCTCTCCCTTTGACAATGTATAGTGGCTGAGGTACCAGCATACTGCCGGAGGCTGAGACCTGGCCATGTGGATCAGAAGCTCTAGCCTCAGATCGCTGGGCCAGCCCTGGTCTTGAGAGTTAGAAAAATGACAGAGAGAAAGAAACAGTGCCGAGGGGGTGAGGAAAAGGCAGGGCGCCCTGTGTCTTAATGTGCTCTGAAACGGCGGCGAGAGGTAGTTTCGTCAACCTGGTCTAACCTCAGAATCACGTGGGGAGAGGAGTCTCAGCGAAGGAAGGCCCAGATCAGACTGGCCTCGGGCATGCCTGGGGCTCGGGGTGGGGTTGTCTTGCTGGCCTCGGTTGATGTGGGAAGACTTACCTAAAAGGGGGCCCACACTGTTCCCCAGATTTGGGTCCTGAATTGTATGGTAGGAAAAGCTAGCTGAGCATGAAGCATGCGTGCATTCACGTCTCTCTACTCCCGCCTGTGGGTGTGACGTGACTGGCTGTGTCAAGTTTCCAGTGCTTTGCCTTCCCTGCAGCGATAGACTGTGACCGGGAACAGTGAGCTGAAGATAATCCTTCCTCCCCAAACTGCTTCTTGCCAGGGTGTTTAATCCCAGCAGCAGCAAGGAAGTAGAATGCTGGTCAAGCTGGAGAGGCGAAAAGCTAAAAGGTCAGCACTCGGAAGCACAAGCATTCATTCCATTTCAGCAAACTAAAAACTTGCAAACCTTTTCCCTGCCCTGAGAAGGGTTACTAAAATGAGACTGTTTTCACACCAGTGAAGTTTCAATGTGAAGATTGATGTCACAGTCAGATGTCTATCATCCGCCAAAAAGATCTGAAGGAGCTGGGGTGTGGCTCAGCTGGAGAGTGCTTGCCCAGTGTGTGTGCCACCCTGGGTTCTGGTCCAGCGCCACGTGAACGGGTGCTGGGATGATGCACACTGTACTCCCAGCACCAGGGAGGTGGAAGCAGGAAGGTCAGAAGATCAAGTCATCCTTGGCTACATAGTGAGTTTGAGGCCAGTCTAGACTACATGAAACTGATTCAAACAATAAAAAAAGAAATGGGGTGGGGGGTGGGGGAGAGATGGCTCAGTGGTTAAGAGTACCTGCTGCTCTTGCAGAGGACTTGGGTTCAATTCCCAGCACTCATATGGTAGGTCCCAACTGTAACTCCAGGCCCAAGAGATCGGCCTGCTTCTGGCCTCCTGGGGCACCAAGCATGCATATGGTACACATACATACATACAACTAAAACACCTACACACACATAAATAAGTAGAAAATTTTTAAAGAAAATAATAACACAAGAATAAAAAAGATTTCAAACTCCACTTAGATTGTTAAAATGTGATTATTATTTACTTTTACTTATAGAACAAGGGACGACTGAATGATCATTAATGTAACTTTATTAACACAGACATTGGCAAACAAAGTGAATGGTGCTAGGATAGTTTTCTTGTAACTTCACTTTCTCATGGGCAATGCTGAAAATTATTTCATTCATGTTTACTCCAAACTCAATTTTTTAACAAGAGTCACAGAAAAACAGGCTTCTAAAATATTCTGGAACCAGGCCGGGCAGTGGTGGTGCACGCCTTTAATCCCAGCATTCAGGAGGCAGAGCCAAGAGGATCTCTGTGAGTTCCAGGCCAGCCTGGTCTGCAGAGTGAGATCCAGGACAGGCACCAAAACTACACAGAGAAACCCTGTATCGAAAAACAAAACAAAACAAAAAATCTGGAACCACAGCTCTTATCACAGAGCCATATTTCATGTTGTTGACAATTTCATTTATAGTAATATATATATATATATAAAACTATCACCTTAGAAGCCAAATAACTCCAACTAAAAGAAAAAAAAAATCACATATTGTGCCAACTAGTGGCCGATCATTGAAGCAGAAAGGCCCCATCTTCCTTCTGAGGATGTAGATTTGTTTTAATCATTACAATCTTTCCAGAATCATTTGTTGGCCCCAAATCAGCATTGGGAGCTCTTCTTCTGAATCCCACCTCTCTGCTCTCTGGAGATGGACTGGTTCCTCTCCACCTGCCTGGGCATCCTCCTAGGTACCCAATACTGTGCTCAAAGCAACTAGCCAAGCCCGAGAGCCCCAGGTTTTCTAAGGAGACAGGAACAATAAACAATCTTGTCAGTCTGTCACTTGCCAAAGATGCCAAGGAACAAACTTCAGATACCTCATTATCAAAGGGTCCCCAAGATGGGAAGTTGGATCCCCAAGACAGTAACGAGGGGTTCTTATGTTGCTGAAAGTCTCTGGGGAGTCTGGTTTAGGACACTGTGGGGCTCAAGGAAAGTTTGTGGAAACCTAGCATTTCAACTTGTGATCAGAGAACAAACTAGACGTGCACCCTGACCTTTGCATTGACCTTAGGGACGTCTGCCCCCTCTAAAAGTTACAAGAATATATTCAGACTCTTTAGCATTGAAACCTATTCTTAGAACTTTTTAATCAACTAGCTTAGCTGATTACCTTCTGTAGCCAATGGATCCTAAAGGTTAGCCCACGTACTTGCTCAGTGTTTTCTTTGTCCAGTGCCCACAGGGAAGGACTTTCTAAGTGCAAGAGTCCCAATATGCTATTTCCTGACCTTCAGTGTTCCTCCATCCAGCAGATGCTCCAACAGTTTGGAGCTTGAATAAGCTCAGGATACACAGTAGCAAACTACAAAAAGCACCTGTCATCTGGAGATTTTTAATTTATTATTTATGTGTGTGTATATGCGCTTGTGCGTGAGCCCATGCACACACATGCAGGTGCCAGCAGAGGCCTGAAGAGGGCACTGGATCCCTGCAGCTAGAGTTCCAGGCAAGTGTGAGCCTCCTGAAATGGGTGCTGGGAAATGAACTCTGGTCCTCTGCAAGAGCAACAAGGAGCAAGCACTCTTAACCCTCCAGGAGCTGTTTCTCCAGCTCCCCCCCCCCTTTTTTTTTCTTGAGATTATTAAATTTCATTTGGAGACTTTAGTTGGTTAAATCTCATTACAACTTACATCTTCTTCAGTTTTGTGTTTCAAAAATATATCTTTTGGTTTTGTTGTTTAAATACCTATGTTTAGAAATGTCAACCTTGCCAGGCAGTGGTGGCTCACACTTTTAATCCCAGCACTCGGAAGGCAGAGGCAGGTGGATCTCTGTGAGTTTGAGGCCAGCCTGGGCTACAGAGTGAGCTCCAGGAAAGGAGCAAAGCTACACAGAGAAACCCTGTCTCGAAAAACCAAAAAGAAAAACTGGGGGTTGGGGGGGAATGACAACCTTTAGGTCCCTAGAGTTTCAAAGAGCAGCGAGGCTTCAGGAATGCCCTGTGTGGGTCACAGGTCTGAGTCTCAGTCCCACCCCTCACCTGACGGATTGACCTTTCCTTTAGCAGGATCTTTTTCTTGCTACATCCTTATAGCAATACTGACTGAATTTTCTCTCGACTTGGTTTCTTGCGGTTTTCTCATCTATCACCAGGGGTATGATTAGTTCTCTGAGAACTACAAAGGCACACAATTCTCAAGTCCCTGAGGCACAACAATCAGGTTCTACATCTGGTGTCAGGGCAGCTCAAAACTGACCAGAGCAACAAATGACCGTGAACATCAAAAGGGTCAAATTTTAATGAATTTCCACAGATTCACCCAGTTTAGAAAGCCCGTCTTGACTCCGGGGGTTTTCTCTTCTTCCTGGCTAATGTCATCTGGGTTTTTGTCTGTGATTTCTTTTGCTTCTGTGAAGGCCTCATACATTTTCTGGACTCTGATCACTTCTTTCTGGGCATCAAAATGGACTTTCTGCCTGGTTAGAATGGGAACGATCAGGTTGAAGTCACTGATCCGCTTGTTCAGCTTCCGGATGTCTTCTTGAAACTGCTCACACACTTGGTTCCACTGTTTCTGGCCCCCAGGTGACAGCGGGTTCCCAAGCCTCTTCCTAGACACTAAAAGTGCTTCTCGAAGTTGTTCGATGGTGTCCTTGATTTCCTTCTGCATCAGAATCCACTCTGGTTGGTAGCCATTGTCTATCAATATTCTGTTTAGGTTGTGAGTCATGGGATCAATATACGAACAGCCAGAAAACTTCTTCAGAGGCTTTCCTTTCCCGCTGAGGTTGTCGAAGTCCCCTTTTGCCATCGACTCCTGAATGAGGTCCTCCACCAGGCGCTCTATGGCTTGAGTTATCTTTCGTTCTTTGCTCTGTCTTACGTCTTGGACAGTTATGCTGTTTGCAAAGTGCTCCCTCTGGAGTTTCTGCTTTTGGTATTCCATCACCTGCTCCGCGGCACGGTCTGCCCTAAACTGTCTATACTGTTTCTCTCGTTGACTTGGCGTCCCAGAGCCAACGCCTTCGAAGCTTAAGTAATGCCGGTGCTGAGGTGTTCTATATTTGAATTTCTCTTCTTCCTCTGTGTCCTCAGCTTTCTTCTCTTGGGCACGTGTTTGTTCTATGACATGGGAAAGTACATTCCTATAAGCTTCTTCGATCTTTATAAATGTTGCAGAATCAGCCTTATCAGAGCCGCTGTCTGGGTGATACTGCTTGGCAAGCTTATGGAAAGAGTCCCTGACATCGTCTGCAGAGCATCCCTCATCTAGGTTCAGCAGCCTGTAATATTCCTTGATCATCTTCTTGGATTTATGGGTGGAGAGCATCCTAGATGCAGGGTCTGAAAGCATTTTTACCCCACGAGGAGGCAATGAAGCGCTCATTAGATGTGGTCTTAAGATCTGAGCCATCTTCATGCTCATTGTGTTCATCATTGATTCGGAATTCTTCCTAGCAATGGTCTACAAAACAGCAAAGAGCAACCAACTGTATTATCAGCCATTTTCTTTTTTTCACTAACAAAGTAAATTAAGGTGTACTCAGTAAGCACCGATTCTTGGGGCAAGAGAGTGGAGAGAGGTTTGGTTCCCAGCACACAAATGGCAGCTAACAAATGTCCCTAACTTCAGTTCCAGGGGGTCTGACATCTTTGGGCCTACTCAGGCATTGGATGTACATGATGCTCAGACATACATGTAGGCAAAACACCCACATGCACATAGAAAGAGAAAAGTCAGTTCTTTGTAACAATGTGCTATGCAAAATATATACATTTTTATATTTATATATTTTATTGATGTTAGCTAGAGGGTGGACATTGATGTTTAGCAATTACATATTGTGACACAATCTGAATTCTTCTACTCACCAAGAACCTAGATAGTTCTTAGAATTCCCCTAATCCAATTTTCTCATTTTATAAGAAAGCAGGGGGCTGGAGAGATGGCTCAGTGGTTAAGAGAACTGACTGCTCTTCTAGAGGACCCAGGTTCAATTCCCAGCAATCACAACTGTCTGTAACTCCAAAATCTGACACCCTCATGCAAATAAATACATGCATGCAAAACACTAAAGAAAATAAAATAAATAAATTTAAAAAAAGAAAGCATGCCTAGAAGGTTAAGCAAATCAATCAAATAACATTACAAGGTATGACAAATGATTAGGGCTGGGGAATTGGCTTGACTGGTTTTTGTCTTTTTGACAGGGTTTCTCTGTGTAGCCCTGGCTGTCCTGGAACTCACCATGTAGACCAGGCTGGCCTTGAGCTCACAGAGGTTAACCTGCCTCTGCCTCCAGAGTGCTGGGATTAAAGGTGTGCACCACCACTGCCAGGCAATTGATTTAATTGTGTCCTCAGCAAATTGCAAATTTCCCAAGCACTATTTTTTTTTTTTGGCAGATAGTGTAGCATGGTCGTCACGAATACTTGTTGCACACCAAACAGGGAGCAGCAGGGAGACAGGGACCCAGTGTGACACTGGATTGAATAGAGTACTGTGTGCAACCGACTTTAAGCTCCGCACCTCACTATCTGCCAAGTGCTGGGGGGTGGGAGGGGGAGGGGAATGAAAGGCGAGCGATCCCCAGCCTTATTAAAAACGCATGGTCCTGTGGAGAAGAAAGACACTGGACACCGACAAGAGACGATGAAGTACTAGAGGATCACTGGATGTGAGTTTACTGGACGTTTGATTGTACGGCGTGTTTTAGAAGTTATGGGGACCCCGATGTCATAGCAGGGTGGGGGGTCAGTGGACTTCAGGGTTGTCTGGAATGCTGGCAGCTATGCTCCCCGTGGTGGGGGGTGTCTCAGGACGGTGTCAGTCCCGCGGCACCCCCTACTCACCTTCACTGCCCCGACGTGGGCTCAGCGGCTCGCGGCCCCCGCTGCGCCTCTGCGCTAGCACGCTCGGCCCCCCCCGTCCCGGCCTCCTCTGCCGCGCTACCCCGCGGAGCCCTTGATCATGTCTCACTGCGACAGGCGGCCTCCCTCAGCCGGGAGAGCCATACCCCGGGCACGGAGGACAAACACCTAGGGACGCCCGTTGAACCCGGGGGCGACAGGCTCCGCCTCCAGCCGCTTTCGAGGGCAGGGTTTGGGCGGTTGGGATTATGGGAAATGTAGTTCCAAGGCAGGTGCGGCCCCGGGCGGGCGGGCTTGGGGCCGCCAGGGGAGTTGCGGCAGGGTGGGATGGGTTTGTGACTCCAAAGTGTGTGTGTGATCTGGAGAGAGATTAGGCTGTTTGCCTCTGTGGGACACCTGCACTGTCAGTAGGCTTCCTTAGGCCAGGAACGATGGTCTTGCATTCAGCCAGTCTTTTGTTTGGTTGGATGTTTGTTGTTCTTTGTTTTGTTTTTTTTGGTTTTTTTTTTTTTTTTTTTTTTTTGACACACACCGGCTCACTTAGCCCAGGCTGGCCTCGCACTCACTATGTATCGAGGATGACTGTGAGTTACA